TGATGATGATGATGATGACGACGACGATGATGACGATGCTGATGATGATGATGACGATGACGATGATGATGATGATGATGATGATGCTGATGATGCTGATGATGCTGATGATGCTGATGCTGATGATGGTGGTGGTGGTGGTGATGATGATGATGATGTTGATGATGATGATGATGATGATGATGATGATGATGATGATGATGATGATGATGATAGTGGTGGTGGTGGTGGTGGCGGTGGTGATGACGATGACGATGACGATGATGTTGATGGTGGTGGTGGTGTTGATATGTCTTGAGCGAGGCGCTCGTTCCCCCTGCAAGCGGGGGCAGACTTGAGGATGTCTCGATCGGTTTGCTTGTTTTGGTGGCCAGGCTCGTGGGCACAGATTCTCCCCAGGATGCCACAGGAGGCTCCAGCAGGCTCCAGGAGGTTCCAGGACGCCACCCGCAGGAAGACTCAGGAGGCCACAGGATGTTCCAAGAGGCTCTAGGAGGCCCCATGAAGCTCCAGGAGGCCTCAAGAGGCTCCACAAAACACCAGGAGGCTTCAGGAGGCTCCAGGAGGCAACAGGAGGCCACAGGAGGCAGCACGAAGCGCCAGTAGGCACCAGGAGGCCCCTGGAAGGCCCGAGGAGACCCCACGAGGCCCCAGGAGCAGGAGGCATCAGAAGGCAACAGGAGTGGCTCCAATCCCCGGTGGTATGCATTTGTTCCTATAGATTGGGCCTCCCTAGGAGCACGACTCTTGGGTGATGTGTCCATGTTTCTGTAGATTGTCCTTCTCCTGCGTATCCACTCCGAAGTGTTTTACACATGCTCTTATATATTAGGCTTCCTTTGGGGCACGAGCTTTTTTGTGATTTACGTGTGTTCCTATAAATTCCGTTTCTCCTGTGGCTCCAATCCGAAGTGGTGTACGTTTGTTCATGTCGATTGGGCTTCTCTTGGGGCACGAATCCTCCCCAGGAGGTCCCAGGAGGCCACGCGAGGCCCCAGGAGGCCTCAGGAGGCCATAGGAAGCCCCAAAAGGCCCCAGGAGGCCCCAAGGGGCTTCAGGAGGCCCTGGGAAGCGCCAGGAGGTTTCGAGGTGCCCCAGAAGGCTTCAGGCTCATGCGCAGAGACGCACTAACATTATTGAGACGCATCCACATGCCCATCCGTTCACAGTTAGATTCGCCCCCACACCGTCAATACTCAATCCAGCTTATGTTCGAAAACTCTTGCGCCTAGACACTTATGGCCGTCAGGTCCATGGTAATAGATGCACATATGGGGAGCTCCACGCAGTGAGTAATTATTGTGACCGCGCGGACTGTCCTTTCACACCTCTTCCTCCCGTCTCCTCCTCCCCCTGATGATATGCTATGGCATGTCATGGTACGTTATGTCAGGACATGGCATGTTATATTTTTGGTATGCTGCGACGGTGATGATGCTGGTGCTGATGATAATGATGCTGATGCTGATAATGATGGTGGTGGTGGTGGTGGTGATGATGAGGATGATGCGGATGATGATGCTGATGTTGACGCTGATGCCGATGATGAGGATGATGATGATGTTGATGATGATGATGATGTTGATGATGATGCTGATGATGATGATGATGCTGATGATGATGATGATGATGATGATGATGATGATGATGATGATGATGATGACGATGACGATGACGATGCTGATGATGATGCTGCTGCTGCTGCTGCTGATGATGATGATGATGATGATGCTGCTGCTGCTGATGTTGATGTTGATGTTGATGGTGGTGGTGGTGTTGATATGTCTTGAGCGAGGCGCTCGTTTCCCCCAAGCGGAGGCAGACTTTGAGGATGCCTCGATCCCAGGATGCCACAGAAGGCTCCAGCAGGCTCCAGGAGGTCCCAGGACGCCACCCACAGGAAGACTCAATAGGCCACATGATGCCGCAAGAGGCTCCAGGAGGCCCCATGAAGCTCCAGGAGGCCTCAAGAGGCTCCAGGAAGCTCCAGGAGGCTTCAGGAGGCAACAGGAGGCAGCACGAAGCGCCAGGAGGCACCAGGAGGCCCCTGGAAGGCCCGAGGCGACCCCACGAGGCCCCAGGAGCAGGAAGCATCAGAAGGCAACTGGAGTGGCTCTGTTCCTATAGATGGGGCCTCCCCGGGGGCACAAATCCTTGGTGTGTTATTCATGTTTCTATATAGTGTCCTTATCCCGTGCATGCACTCCGACGTATTTTACGTACGCCTCTATAGATTAGGCCTCCCTTGGGGCACGAGCCGTTGGTGTTCTACGTGTGTTCCTCTAGATCACCCTTCTCTTGCGGCTTCAATCCGCAATATTTTATGCATGTTTCTTCTTACATATTGGGCCTGTCCTGGGGCACGAATCCTCCCCAGGAGGCCCCAGGAGGCTCCAGGAGTCTCAAGGAGGCCTCGGGAGGCCACACGAGGCCCCTTGAGGCATCAGGAGGCCACAGGAAGCCCTAAGAGGCTCCAGGTGGCCCTAAGAGGCTTCAGGAAGCCCCAGGAGGTTTCAAGGGGCCCCAGGAGGCCCCAGGCTCATGCGCAGAGACGCGCTCGTACTACGGAGACTCATTCACACTCCAATTCATTCGCAGTTCGATCCATGCCCACACAGTCAATACTCAAGTCCGTTTATATTCGAAAACTATTGCGCCTGAACGCTCATGGAGGACAGGCACATGCAAATAGGTGCACACATGGGGAGCTCCATGCAGTGAATGATCACTGTGACCGCGCGGACCTCCCTCACACACCCTTCTCCTTTTCTCCTCGTCCCCCTGATGACGGTAAGAGTATGGTGGCGACGGTGTTGTTGCAATTGATGATTCATGATGGCGATGGTGATGATGATGGTGAAAGTGAAAATGATGATGAAGATGATGAGTGATGGTGATGATGATGGAACATCAGGATGAGGACGGTCTTGGTGATGCTGACGGTGATCATGGTGGATATGATGATGATGATGGTGATGCTGATGTTGTTGGTGATCACTATGATGCTGATGATGATGGTGATGACGGTGGTGATGACCAGAGGGGGCCAGACTTCAAGGCTGTCTCGGGTGGCTTGAAAAGATCCTGAGGATGTCTCAGGATGCTCGCTGGTTTTCGCACTCCTCAGGGGGGCCGCCAGGGGTGTTGCACGGCTTCCGTTAGCGCCCAGGTTGCGAGGATGTCTCAGGCGGTTTGCTTGTTTCGGTGCTCCAGACTCCTTCGCTTTCGATGCAGATTCTGAAGATGTCTCGAGCGGTTTGCTGGTTTCAGCATTCTTGAGGGGGGCCGCCAGGGGTATTGCACGGCCTCCGTTCGCGCCCAGATTGCGGGGATGTCTCAGGCGGTTTGCTTGTTTCGGTGCCACAACATTCTTTGCTTTCGGAGCAGATTATGAAGATATCTCGAGCGGTGTGCTGGTTTTCGCACTCCTCAGGGGGGGTCGCCAGGGTATCTCTCGGCATCCGTTAGCGCCCAGATCGCGGGGATGTCTCAGGCGGTTTGCTTGTTTCGGTGCCCCAGACTCCTTCGCTTTCGGAGCAGATTCTGAAGATGCCTCGTGCGAGGCGTTGGTTTTCGCTCCCTAGGGGGCCAGACTTTGAGGATGTCTTGATCGGTTTGCCTGTTTTGGTGGCCAGACTCGTGGGCACGGGTTCTCCCCAGGATGCCGCAGGAGGCTCCAGCAGTTTTGAGGCAAGAGGAGGTCCCAGGAGGCATCAGGAGGCCACAGGAAAACTCAAGAGGCGACATGATGCCCGAAGAGGCTCCCGGAGGCCCCAGGAAGCTCCAGAGGGTCTCAGGAGGTTACATAATGGCCCGAGGAGGCCACAGGAAGAGCCAGGAGGCCCCGGAAGGCAACAGGAGGCCCCACGAGGCCCCAGGAGCAGGAGGCTTCAGAAGGCCATAAGAGTGGTTCCAATCCCACGTGTTGTACGTATGCTCCTATAGATTGTGCCTCCCCTGGGGCACGAATCCTTGACGTTGTACGTCTGTTTCTGTAGATTGTCCTCCTCCAGTGTATCCAATGTTATGTGTTTTATGTATGTCCTATAGATTGGGCCTCGGGCCTCTCTTGGGGCACGATACCGTGATTTACGTGTGTTCCCATAGATTGCCCTTCTTCTGTGGCTCCGATCAGCAGTGTGTTATGTACGTCAGTTCCTGAAGGTTGGGCCTCCCCTGGGGCACGAGTCCTCCCCAGGAGGCTCCAGAAGACTCAAGGAGGCCCCAGGAGGCCACACGATGCCCCTTTAGGCATCAGGAGGCCACATGGAGCCCCACGAGACTTCAGGAGGCCCGAAGCGGCTCCAGGAGGCCCCAGGAAGCCCCAGGAGAATTCAAGAGGCCCCAGGAGGCCCCAGGCTCAAGCGCACAGACTTTCTCGTACGACTGAGGCTCATTCACACCCCAATCCATACACTGCTAGATTCACTCCCAAACTATCAATACTCAAACCTGTTTATATTCGAAGTCCCTTGCGCGTAGGCACTCACAGCGTAAAGGTCCTTGCAAATCTATGCACATGTAATAGGGAGGTCCACGCAGTGAATACTTATGCTTGTCTAGCTTCGAGCTGCTCTGAGTTGCAGGCACTTGTACTTGCGCGTGCACAGTATGTGTATGAATGCATGTGTGCGCGTGCGTCTATTATCATGTAGTTGCTTTCTCATCACTTGGTCACGAATGCGAGTGTGAATAATGCCTGTATATGGACATGTGCACGCGTGCCTGTGTACGTGTCTATGTGTACGGGCCCTTGCATGTGTGTATCACGTGTGAGTGCGATGTTTGCAGCTGTGGGACGGCGCAGGCCCAGGCCGCTCGCGTGAGACCGTGTGACCCAAGAGCCGCCCAGGAGGGACCCGAGACGCCCCGCGAGGCCTCCTCCTCGAGTGAAGGACGGCCCGAGAACCCCTCCGGGATTCTGCCAAGGTGGCCCTGGAGAGTCCGGGAGCTCACTGTGCCAGGACAACGATATTTGCAGGGTTTGGAGGAAAAGGGAGGTCCCGCCGGCTGGTGCGTCGACGTCGGCCGCTCCCTGCCGTGGCCGGCGACGGTCGCGGGCAGAGATGCTTTGAGAGGGAGGGGGGTGAAGTCGTCGACAGAGTTTTGAGAGCGTCGCATGGAGGGAAGGTCAGAACAGGCACAGGCAGACTTGGTGAACAGTGGGAAGCCGACCCCGGCCCCCACAACAATGGATTTTAGATATGTCAGCGTTTTGCAATTTTGGCGAATGTGCGTAGATGCAGGAGCCCTGTAAGCGAGGCCATTGCCAGCTGCCGCAGGCGGGGGAGTCCCGCGCGCGCGGTCTAGTTGGTCTAAAGTTTCTCATGTGGGGGGCGGGGGGCCGTTTTCATGCGTTCACTTAGAGTTGAGACTAGGGCATAAGGTAACGTTGGTTCGAAATTCAGGTGGTGCAGGTTTGACGAAATAGCGCACTTATAGTCAGACCTACACGGGCGGAGTTAAGTTTCGGCACCGGCGGGAGTCAAACGTTTCAAGATATGTTTCAGGATGGGTTTATAGTTGAATTGGGTTGTCGTCTCGAAGACATGCTATGAGTTTATGCTGTGAATTTAGTTCGAATGGATCAGAGGCCGATCTGGAAGAGATGCACTTCACGTCCTGTAAGTTAACAACAGTCGGTGCGTGGGATTTGCGCTGAAGCAGTGATTGTCTTGAGTGGTTCCGTTGTTTGCGATTCCAAGCGCCACCAACATTCGCCGAGTGATACTCATACGTTGGAGGTCAGTCGGGTAATGAATACGAGCGTGTGTAAGGATGAAGTCCTCTGCCGGAGTGTGGTGCGGGGGGGGGGGGGGGGGAAACGCCACTATCAGGTTGCCACCCCAGCATGTCATTCGGTGGCTATGGAAGTGTTGCTGACATCCTGGCGTCGTGGCTACATTCCTGTGTCGGCTACCCGTAAGAGTGATTCTTCGTAACGGCACGCAGTGGTTCCTCCAGCATTGGATGGCGCGCTTGGATGTGCCGCCCCCTCACACACATTCCACCCCACCCCACCCCACCCCGCTTCCCCTTCTTGCCGCGTACCAGAGGTCACTCGTGCCAAGGATCACTCTTTCGTGTAGCCGAGTGTGTCGTATTGAGGTAAAGTATCGTTGTTGCGTGAAGTCTCGGATTGCTTTGTGCTGGCAGCTCTGCATGTGATTGAACAATTTCGGTTGCGGGATCGTCGCCATAAGGGGTATTCAATGGAGAGCGGGAGTGTTTTAAGGTAAGCGGGGGGGCTTGAGCGAGAGGTGCATCTGCAGTCCGCTAATGTTTCGTTGTGTTTGCTGTTTCTTGCGCAAGCAGGGCAGGTGCAATCATGAAGGACGAATCGAAAATAGCACCCCGATGCGAAGAGCCAGCATCAGAGGTAGCACATGATGTGTAAGGGTTCCGGTTGAGAGCCTGCGCCGCCGCCGTGATGCCTCAGGTCGCGAAGCCGGTGAGAGCTGCCTCGTGGGCGCATCTCGCTTGGGTTAATTATACCTCTCGACTTGGGTGCCCTCGCAGATCCCTCTCGCCGTTCTCTCCGCCCTCCCTTTTTGCCCTCCCTCTCCCGTGCCACCCCCTCTCTGCTCCCGGCCCCGCTCCCGTGCCCTCTGCCCCGCCACCCACTCCTCTCTTCCGTGCCTCCCTGCGCCCCGGGGGGGCGACAACCGCACACCAGCACCGAGCCTGGCGAGGCCGACTGTGGGCCCAGGATTTGTGTGCACGTGCGCCTCTCTGGCTAGCCAGGCCCCAGGGGCGCATGCACCGATGCTTGGCCCAGGACCGGGCCAGGCCAGAATGGCGTCGGGCATGTGCCTGTACAGGAGGAACGTTCAACAACAGGCAAAAATAGTCTGGGGGCGATATTTCCATTATTTGGGATTCTATTTAAATCAATATGTTTCAGTTTTCTCCCAGCATCCGCTTGTAGGAGGGCCTGCCCGACTTCGGGCCAGGATCGGTAGGTGCACAGTTGGCGTTCTCCTGTCTTTTTCTCTGCCCGAACTGCCTCCCCCCCACACTCCGCAGCACCGCTCCTGCAGCTGGGCCGCGGGCGCCGGCCCGGCCTTGGCTGGGCCAGCCCCTGCTGCCCAGGAGAGGTGCCCACGCTTTCTTCCCGGCTTCGCCCTGGAGGGCGTGTAGGCCCCACTCGCCGTGCCGACGCACGCGAGGGGTCGAGCTGGCGCAGAACAAATCGCGGCTCTGCGCGCGCGATCGCGTTCGCGCTCGCGCGCGGTCGTTTCATTGGCGTCGTCGTCGTTGTCGCGGTGACGTCGTTCTATCGGGCGGCCGCGGCGCCGCCGTCGGAATCAGCATTGTCGTCGGCGTCGTGGGCGGCAGCATCGGCGTACTGGACTTGGCAGTCTCGGCATCCTCTGTCGAAGCCCTCGAGGTGGGCACCAGCACCAACGTCGGCGCTCACCTTCATCTGGGGTGGATGGCCCACGATGTGGATGGATGGATGTGGAGTGTGAGGGGAGTCAGTGTTATTTGGCGATTCAGGGTTTCCTTAGAGGCCCTTCTGGACCGTGTTGGGGCCCCTTTGGACTGTTCTGGGACCCTTGTAGGTTGTCTCGGGGGGCTGTGGCCGTCGTGGGGCTCTGCTGGGGGCTTCTTGGGGCTGTCTTGCGGCTTTCTTGGGAGCCTTTGGGGCCGTCTCGGGCCGTCTCTCTTGGGCCTTCTTGGGGTTCTTGGGCCGTCGTGGGGCTCTTTGGGGCTGTTGTTGGGCAATCTTCGGGCTTTGTTGGGGCCGCTGGATCTGTTTCAGGGCGGTTTGGGGCGCCTCTTGAACCGTTCTGGAGCCTTGGAAGACCAAACAGCGACTGTGGCTAAACAAGCACGTTCCCCCTAAGGAATCGAACACTTTCGGTTTGTTTGGCGTTCTCTTGGGGATCTTCGGGGCGTCTTGGGGGGGCCTCTTAGACCGTCTTGGAGCTACTTGGGGGCCTTATCGAGCGTTGTGGGATTTCCTTTCCTGTCGTGAAGCCGTATGAGGCAGCCTTGGAGCGCTCTTGGGCCGTCTTGGAACGGCATTGAACCTCTTAGGGGCCATCTTTGGGGCCTCTCGGGCGCCTGGGGTATTCGCACTTCGTTCGGTGGGGTGAGTGTGTGGGGGGTCACCAGCCTTGTACAAATATCTGAACAGGAGCGTGTGTGTATATATAGATATATACATACATATATATAGAGTGAGAGAAGGCTCGCGATGGGACAAGCAACCGCCACTTGGGGGAGCGATCATCTGGGACCTCGGCTGGCGGTGGGTATGGATGCATTCTGATGTGGGGGCGGTGCGTACGGATATTGGGGTCCAGTGGAACAGACCCACCCCCGAAGATGATACCCCAAGCGGTGGCTATGGACACATCCCAGTTTAGCGGTGCTGCCCACAACGTCCGCGAGTCTGCCACGCCTCCCTCCGCACGGCGCCCGCGCCCCGCAGGCGACAGGCGGCTCTGGGTGTCCTCGGCTGGCCCGGCAGTCCATGGCCGCCATCTCGGGGAGGGGGCGGGGGCGCTTCTCTGGGAGGCGCCCACGGTGGGGGTGAGGATGTTTGTTCTCTTGCTGGCTCTTTGATCGGCCCGACCGACGCGGGTGCGCAAAGGATGGGGGCAGAAACCGACCACATATCGTGCCCATTTTGAACAGAACGCGTTGTCCGTGTCGCTGCGGACGGGGTCCACGTTGGACAGGGCGTCCTTTGCCCACCAGCGGCCGCTGCCAGTTTTGGACAACATGTGTTGCTGGGCTTGATGCACATGTGTCCGCACCAATTCGACCGAGTGTACACAGGTCAATCGGACGAAGTTCTTGGTTTTTTCTTGCCTTGCTGTGCCTCGTCGAGGGCCTTCGGAGGGTGTCCAGATCGCCCGACCCGAAGACTTCCAGGCGTCTAAAAGGGAGTGAGGACTCGGGGTGTGTGGATGCCATGGCTGAGGCCGTGGAGTCTACCAGGTTTCGTTGCCTCCGTTTCCTTTCAACACGTTCCTTGGCTTTCCCTCCTCTGCGCACATGCCGCTGCCCATGATGCACGAACCCCACTCTTCAGAGCACCCATTTCCTCCTCCCAGATCTCCAGCGGCTCGAGCGAATCTGGAAGAAAGTCGTTTGGCTATCGATTCGGTCGGTGTTCCAATTTTGTGTCGCCGTGGACGTCGATCACGACTCGAGCAGCAACACAGTCGTTGGATGTTCAGGGGTCTTGCGGGAAGAGCGCTGCTGAGAGTTCACGCTGTTGTATCATCGGAGCCGGTTCGTGGCCCCCGAGACCGTCCACAACGATTCAGGACGAAGAGCCAGTCAAGTGGCCCGTTCCCTTCGTCGTGAAGGAAGGGGGTCCTGCAGGAAATTGTGTGTGTGTGTTTGTTTTCTGCGTTCGTTGAGTTCTCTGGGCCTCTCCCGCGCCCCAGGTCCATCAAACGCCGGCGCGGGATGTGAAATCGAGAAGAGCCCGTGATCTACACCGACTCGATCGGCGTGCTTGGTTACCACGCGGCTGGTGGGAGCGTCTGCGACCCAACTGAGAAATTGCTGGCAGGGTTTGAACTGTTAATGTCTGCTCTTGCAAGCAACATGGGGCAACAGATCGAAGCCGCCTGCGGCGAATCACCGCCGCCCCCTGCCGTTTGGAAGTGATCTGTGGCCGAACGTTATGGCCAGAGCTCGGCCAAGCTATCGGACCATGTATTCTCCCAGCCGTTGTATAAACCCTTCGGGGAACACGAGGGGGAGCCAGAAGAAGAGGAGGAGAGATCTCTTCGGGCTGTCCCAGGGAGTTCTCTTGAAGGCCTTTTGGGGGCCTGTTGGGCTGTCTCGGGCAACCTTGGGCCAATGTTGGGCCGTCCTGGAAGTCTACGTGTTTTTATGCCGACCTGGGAAGTCTACGGGTCTTTCTCCCGTGCCGGCCGGATCGGCCGAAGGCCCATTAGCAATTCTAGATGTTTCGCGTAACCCCACCAGCCCGTGTAGTGGCCCCTTTTTCCCGCGTCTGGCCGGCGACAGCTGCGCTGTGACCCCCGACCTTGCTCGTAGCTCGACCTTTTCCGACGCCGCGCGGGTGCCCGCTCGCGGTCGCGACCAAAAAACAAAACAAAAACCACCAGCCCATCCAGAAACGATGCCCAGAGGAATTGCCTCGATCAGGGAAGTGGGCAGCACACAGAGGAAGTGTCCCCCATTCTCCTCGATTCTTCTTCTCCTCGATCCTCCTCCACCTCCTCGATCCTTCTTCTCCTCCTCATCCTCCTCCTCATCCTCCTCCTCCTCGATCATCCTTCTCCTCCTCGATTCTCCCATTCCTCCTCTTCCGTCTCGATCCATCCCTTCTTCGATCCCTCTCCTCCTCGACCCCTCCGCATCTTCCCAGATCATCTAAATTCGGGGGTGGACAGACCTCCTACCCTGACACGTCGATTGAGGAATTTTCCGTTTTCGGCTCGCGAGAGGGCGTCGCGGCCGTCATTTTTGCGGGTCCAGGTCCGTCGGTTTCGGTCCCAGGCCGCTTTCTTTAAGGGGAGGTTTACTAAAGGGAGGTTTGTCACCGCACATACATATATATATATATATATATATATATATAGATATTTTCGTCGGCCTGTCCTTTCCATCTTCGATGTTTTTCCTCTTCTCGTGTTGTATCTTCCTCCTCCTCCTCCTGCCCCTCCTCGATCTTCCTCTCTCTTATCGATCCTCCTCCTCGACTGTTGGCCCACCTGCACCGCGCCCCCCGCCCAACCCGCTTGCCGCCAGCGGCCGGGGTGGAAGGCTGCGCGAGCGGCTCCGCGTCGACCAGCAGGACGAGGAGCGGCGGTCGGCGTCGTCGGCCTTGTCGGCGACGTCGAAGTCGTTGGCGTTGGCGTCGTCGTCGTGGTCGTAGGGGGACGGGGAAGGGAGAAAGATGAGGAGGGAGGGGGCGGAGGGTGAGGCATGGAAGGAGGGGGAGGAGAGTGACGACAAGGGGTAGAAGAGGGAGGAGGAGGAGGAGGAGGTGGAGGAGGCGGAGGAGGAGAGAGGGGAGGAGGAGGAACAGGGGGAGGAGGAGGAAACAGCTCTTTGGCCCAAGTGCAGGCCCAGCCTCAGGCGCGCCTTGGCCAGGCCGCGACGCTGATACTGCACTTACATCGCGGCGCGTGAGCCCGCGTGGCATCGCGCTAGAGTTTTCCTATCACGAATCAAAGACCAGTCCGTTTTGAAAACCTATCATAGTTCACCCCGTTTCAAGACGGTTCGCTGTTCAGGACCAATGGGATTGCCCATGCGGCCGTCAGGTGCGTGGACATCATTGGTCTTGTTTATACGGGCGACACTTTGACGACCTATTTGAGGATCTACACCGCAACCAGGACGTCACTAGCCACCGCAGCACTCTCGGCGTGACCCCTCTCGTAGGCGTCGTGCATTGCAAGGAGGCAGTCAACGAGATCAGCAGAATAAGGAGACCAAGCAGGAGCAAACTGGGATGAAGCCTTTTTTTCTCGGGCAAGGCAGGTACGATGGAGCGTTCCGAAGTCGCAGTCTAGGTCGATATGATCGGGTACGCACCCGTTCCATCGCACATTCCAGACACCAAGGCCTACAATGCGAGTGTAAAGCAAAGGATGTTTGAGATTGCACGCCTGATCATTGTGGCCAGAATGGCCGGCAAGGAGGGCGCCACCCACTACATCAAGGAGGTGTCGAGTCTGAAGTACATGATTAGCACGAGTGACAGACTGGCTAACCCAATGATCTTAAGAGTATGCTCGACAAGTGCCAGACTTCCCCGAAGGCCCTCGACAACAAGATCGACGAGACCCAGTCGACCGACGCGCTCTCGAGAACCGAAATGCGGAGAAAAACGTGACGGCCTTGAAGGCAGCGATTGAGGAATTGGGGGAGTCAGGGGACTACGAGGTCGGGGAAGAGGACGCCACCATGTACGCGGGAGATGGAGGGGAGGAGCTGCGGCCGCCGCTACAGCTGGTCCACCGCCGGCCAAGTCACCGCCCATGCCGCCACCTCCACCAGCAGCGATGCCGAGCACAGGAGTGCCATATATATGTGTATATATATATATATATATACATATGCCGTCGGCTCCGGTCATCCCTAGACTTGTCTTCGTCCCACCTCAGCACATGGCGTACCCGTTCCTGTCGCCACTGCCTCAGCCTCAGTCTCAGCCAGCGATGAGATCAGGAAGCTCTCTGAGATGGTTCAGCTGTCGTGCATAATCGCGCACGTGAGTGGCCAGCCTACGACGAGGGGAGCAATTTCGACTGCGTTGGCAGCGAGCGGGGCAGCACCAGTGCCTTCACTGTCGAGTTTCCCGCCATGGCAAGCGAGTCTGGCTACACCAGTTGGGGGGTCCGCCGCGCCGATCACAGGGTACCGCTAAGGGATGGGGGAAGGAGGTCGTGCCCACCCTTTCGCCCACTGAGATCGCCGAGGATCTATATCAACGAAAGATCAAGGATGAGGGGATATGATAGAGGAGATTGAAGGCCCCCGAGATGTGAACGTGTTTTTTTTCAGTCCCGACCCAGCCTTTTTCTCCCTGGGGGCCCCGCGCACGAAGTTCCACTTTGCAGCCGGTGGAGGGGGGGCGAGGAAGCCCAAAGCCCGCCCCGCTAACGGCCCAGGGTCGCCGAAGGGCTGTCTGGCTTGAGTGAGGTACGGGCCTTCCCACCTGGTGATGAGGCCCCTTTCTTTTCAAGCCAGTCTGTCCCCTCGGGGGCCGACCTTCCCAACACACCTCCGGGGCCGTTCTAGCCTCGAAATCAACCCTCCGTGGCCGCCAAGATGCCCAATCTGCTCAGTGTGGCCAGTTTTATTCCGCCGATGTTTTCTCGGTCGAGATTTTCCAGCTCAGAGTGGCCGAGTTTATCTGGCCGAGTTCTTCCTGGGCCGACTTTCCCTGGCCGAGTTTCTCTGGCCGGGTTCATACGGCGCTCACGCTGCAGCCGGAGCGCAGGCCGAGTTCAAAGGGCTGAGTGTAGTTTCCAGCTGGCTGGCTTCAGCTGAGCCGAGTCCGGCTGGGTCAACCGTTTGTTGGGCCGAGTTCAGAGTGGCCGAGTTCAAAGTGGCCGAGTTCAGGGGGCCAAGTCCAGCTGGCCGAGTTGTTCTTGGTTGAGACCAGTCGCTGCCTGAGGGGCCACGGGTACGCAGGAGAGGTGGGAAACGGAGCAGCTCGGCCCCAGCCCCCCCCCTGGAGGCATCCCATCCCCCTCCGTCGCTTGGAGCAAGGCCCCGAGAAGGAACACTCAACTTAAACAAGTAGTTTGGGAGATGTACGCAGATATCTTGGAACGGCGGGGGATCCCGCTGGCGTCGCCTCCGGCGCCGCCCATGGCGCGCTCCGTGCGCCAGGCAAGGGGGGCGCAGCGTCGACCCAAGGGATCCGCGCGGGTTCTTGGAAATCCCTGCGTATGCAGGCTTGTTTGATCGGCCTGTTTTCCACCACCACCACCATAAGTTGGAGGGGGAGGGGGTCCTCCTCCTCCTCCTCCTCCTCCTCGTCCTCCTCCTCCTCGTCCTCCTCCTCCTTCCCCCTCCAACTTATGGTGGTGGTGGTGGAAAACACGCCCATCATTGTTGTCCCTCTACAAATCGCTCCGAGAGCGCTCTGGAACGCCCTCGGCGCGTTCCAGAGCGCACCGGAACAGCCATGGCGCCATCCGACGCGCCGGTTCTGAGAGATGCCAGATGTACTTTTGTTTGGATGTATCATCATTCTGCCTTCGTCTCAATTTGTTGATGGCCCCGGGGCCCCGATTTTGTTTTGTCGTACCCTTGCAAGTATGCCCCAGCGGCGGACCACCATGACACTCTGATAGCAGAAAGCCCTAAACAATGTCAGAAGAGAGGAAACCGTACAGGGCCATATGGGAAGCCACGGAGGAGACCATCGGGAGAGCACACGGGAGACTATGCGGGAGACCACACGTGAGGCCATGCGATGCGGCTGACCATGCGGGAGGCTTCGCGGGAGACCCGACGGGAGACCAGGCGGGAGACCTCACGGGAGAGCGCAGGCCACCGAGTCCAGATTTGTAGCCGCTCACGCCCGGTGTCGGGACAGCTGTATACGGTAGGTTTGCGTCGTGTCGACCAGCGGCGACCCCAGCGCGGACGTTCAAGGTTGAACGCCGCCGGCGGCCCAGAATCGATCGATGTTGAACGATCGGACGTTGCGGCAGCGGCCGATCGTTCAAGGTTGAACGATCCCTGCGGTGTCAAAAACCAACGCTGGGGTCGGCACGACACGAACCTGCCGTACGGGACCTTGGCAGACAAGTTGTTTTTGGGGAAGTTGTTTGTCAGGTCGCCCCCTCCTCTGGTGCATTACTGTCGCCTGTCATACCGCATGCGCTGTGAGTCATGGAGCACACAATAATCCTTAGCCCGAAACACACGATAAAAGCGTGGCCTCACTGAGGTCGCCGCCTTCGCGTTAGGGGCCATACATCTGGGAATATGTGCGGCGTTGTCCGAAACATCTGCAGAATGATACCCCCTATCCCTGATGTTCTTTGGGCCTCTCATCTCAGGTCTCCTCCCAACTTGTTAGGGGCCCTTTTCTGCTTGATCAGCGAAAGCGAACGTCCGCCGCACCGCGGGCTTGGACCCCCGCGCGGCGCCCCGCGGCCCGCGCCGTCTGCGGCGTCCTCGCGAGCCCTCGCCCCGGCTGGCCCGGCCGACGCATCTCGGACGCCCCCGAGACGGGGCTCGCTTCTCGGGGGCGGAAAAGAGGGGGGTGATGACTAGGGGGGGGGGGATATCATGGCGGGGGCCATGATATTTCCCCAGATTTCAGGGCGCCTCTTCTTGTTCCATCACGTCCCTGGCCCCCCCGCTGGGCCGCGCACGTGCCGCCGGTCATGATTTGCACACCCCCCTCTTGGACGCCCCCCTCTTTGCCGCCCCCGAGACGGGGCTCGTTTCTCGGGGGCGGAAAAGAGGGGGGTGATGACTAGGGGGGGTGGATATCATGGCGGGGGCCATGATACTTCCCCAGCTTTCAGGGCGCCTCTTCTTATTTCATCACGTCCCTGGCCCCCCCGCTGGGCCGCGCACGTGCCGCCGGTCATGATCTGCACCCCCCCCTCTTGGACGCCCCCCTCCTTGCCGCTCCCGAGACGGGGCTCGTGTCTCCGGAGGGGAAAAAAACACACAGACACAATTAATCGGCGATTCCAAGAAAATATGGGAAACTATGGGAAGTGGGGGGGAAGACAGAAACCCAGAAAATATGGGAAAATATGGGGGATATTTTTATTTGTGTGTATTTATTTGTGTGTCCTAATTTCCCTTTAGTGTCGACTCCTCCGGTTCGGTCCGGCTCGAGTTCGGTGCTCTCCGCTGCCGAGTCGGTTCGGCTTCGGGATTCGATATGTGGGCTCCGAGTGCTCGGCGGGGGCCCGCGGGCCTGCCGATCTCTGCCGCTTCGGCTGCTCCCCGCCGGGCTGCCGATTCCCGCCGATCCGAGGCGTTTCGACCGCCGATCCGACTTATCGATTCGATTTGGGGCTATTCAGAGCGTGAATTACCTCCCCCGCTTTCGCTTCCAGGCAAAACCAAGTCATGCCACGCGCCTCCTCGTCAAGCGGCCTGACAAGCGCAGGCCGTAGTTTGGCATCGTTTGGTATCTCTTGGAAGCGAGGGTGGTCAAAAGCGAGGTAGGTTTGTTGTCCCCCTAGCTATCCTGCCCCCGATACTCGGGTCGGGCGAAAGGGGGGGATTGGGAAAGGGGGGGTTACGAAATTTGCTGCATGCAGCTGGTTTCGGCCTCACCGAGGGGCCCATTCCTCGATGCATGGGCGCCTCCGGCGCCGGGAGGCGCCGGGAAAATCAGCTACGTGAGCTGATTCTCAAACCCCCCCTTTGCTATCCCCCCCTTTCGCCCGACCCGAGATACGGGGGGGAGGGGCTGCAGGACAAGTGCCCGCGCCTTCGAGGGACCGAAGGGTCACAGGGGCCACCTTACGCTGGGGATCGGCTCGGGGAGGACGCATCGACCCCCCAACCGCTCAGTGATCGCACACATGGGCCGAATGGCCCACCCTTCCCGGGAGCGTTGGGTTTATCGATAGGGGCCTATCGCCGATCTACTGGCGATGCATCGCCGATGCCAGCCCGCTGCTTCTCCTGTGAGCTGCCCCCCCCTGCCGTTCCCCCTCGAGGGAGTTGACATCTCTTCCCTGGTGGATGGTGGCAGAAGGGCGGCGGGAGGCAAACACGAGGCCGCTTCCCGCCGGCGGAAGGCCGGCGACGGAAGTAAACGTAGACCTTCCCCGAGAGATGACGACCAGCCATGTGTGGCTGCCTACGCCGGGCGCCCGCGCCCGCGCCAGGAGCGCGCGGCCTCGGAGTTCCTGTGTCTGATGAGGGACCAGCCGCGCCACCCCCGTGCTACGGTTGGGCGAAAGGCGGGATGCTTCGGATCTCGTAGTCGGTCACTCGCAGAGGAAGGGAGGGGGATAGGGGAAGGCTTCTCAGAAGCACCCCGCTTCACAGAAGGCGCGGGCCTTATCTGTGGATGTAAGGCCGGCGTCTTCTAAGAAGCAGCCTCCTAATAAGTTTTCACCCTTCCCCCTGCCCCCCCTTTGGGCGCGCCGCCAACTTCGTTCATCCAGGGTTGCAAAGATGATCGCGCTTCGCGCGCCACGGCCTGAGCCAGAGCCCAGCTGCCCCTCTCCAAGGGAAGTGGCCCAAACCTCCAGGGGGCTACGCCTGTGAAAACATCACGACGTCGGAGGCCTGGAAAGCTTCGATGCATGGTCGCGCCCAGCAACGGCCACATGCGGCCGATGCGCTAGCCGCCCGTTTGCTAGCCGCTCCCCCTTTCGAGCAATGGCACCAATTGCAGCCGCTCTGGTGTCCTTTTCCAGAAGGGTGCCATGCTCTTCAAAACTCGCCCTTCTCGGGCTCAGCGCCGTGTGCAGCTCGGGCGGATCGAAACGGGGAAGGAAATTCTAGGGACGAACGCCGACGGGAGTTCCTGTCCGATCTGCCCCCTATCGTCCCCATGATTGTCTCGACGCGGGGCGCAGTGTCTTGGACAGCCGATCCGCTCACTCGGCGGAGGGAAAACGGGGCGAGCAGCCCGGGGCGGGCATGGCACGTGCTCGCCGGGGAGCCTCGTCAAGAGCATGGGCGGTCGGAGCCCCTGGATGCACGCATCTGCAGCTACAAGAGGAGGCCCGGAGGGATGGGGCCCCGAGGACGACGGGCCTCACTCGGGGCCCCATCCTTGAACCGCCGAGCAGAATGGCCCGCCCTGGGCTGTCCGCGCCTGCCCCGGGTCCGCCAACTGGACCCCTTCTCGGTTTTCTGGGGGGATCCAGTCTTCATCCGGGAGGAGAAGCTTTCGGGAGTGCGTTGTTTTGTGTGCGCCTGCAGAGCGCCCGCCTTAACAGATCCTCGGTGCCAGGCCTTGAGGTATCCATGGCGGGACACCTGCAGAAGTGCGTGTTGCGCGGGTGGAACGCCTGGGCCTCAACGGCGTCAACGGGGTGCGGGCCCCAGACTGGGGGGCCTTTCCCGCAGGCCGTATGCCTTGGGCGGCAGGCCCTGGGCATCGGATTGCGGGGAACCTTCCCGAGAGCGTTTTCAGCAGGTGGAGCGCCCGCCCCAAGGCATCCCGTAATTCCCAGGCTCTGAGCGCCAGAGGCTTTGAGATCAGGTGCGGGAAACTTTTAGGAGTGTGTTTTGCGCGTGAAGGTTCCCCTTCTGAGCCGGGTTTACCCTAACGCCTAACGTTCTGCTTTATTGTACAAGTTGTTCAAGCCATTTCGCTGACCCCCCCAGGTTTGGCCTCTTGGAGGGCTTCTGGGGGCATTTGGGACGCTGGTCGGGACTTGTTGAGGACCCCTCGGGGGCTTCCCGGCAGCGCTTGGCACCCCGCACTTCCCAGGCTGTGGCCCGTGGGCGCCGCCGCGCGGCACCGCAGCCCGAGACTGGGGGAGGCCTGGACCACGCATGGGCCGGCCCAGTGCGGTGAGCCTTCGGGAGTGCGTTTTGCGCGCGCAGCGCGCCGGCTTCAATCGGGGAAGCGTAAGATTCGAGTGAGCCGGAAATCTGGTTCGCCGACGCTTTTTGGCGAGCGCGTCTTGGATTTGGACGGTCCAGTTTTCGTGGAACGCCTGCAGCGGGAGCTCGCGTCAGATTCCAGACTCCACCGCTGGTATTTGACCGCATTCCGCTGCTGAGTTCATTTTTGGAGGTAGGGTTTGTATGTTGGTGGACCCAATACAGAAGTGAAGATCACATATGCGTATTGGAACATATGTTGCACGCCATCGTCTTCAACTGCGACTGAGCCGTGGATGCAGGTCAGGTCGACGTTGTCGCTTGAGGAAGCGAGAGCAACAACCTGGTGTTGCAAACGGTAATGATGGCACATGGCACAGCACATGTACTTAGTCCTATGTGCTCGCGTTCTACGTTGAGGCACTTAGCCCCAGCTCCCGAACCACCCGTTTAAAATTTCAGACCAGGGTCTGGATGTGCATATATTACGGCGTTGCGGGCACCGTGGTGGGGGCTCGCAGGCCATCGCCGCCTGTGAGGTTTTCTGTCCGCAGCAGTGGATATGGATAGTTTGTTGGGTCCTCCCTTCTTTGTCTATCCATATCCACTGCTGGCTGCTTGTGTGGTGTTGCCTGTGAGACCTCGCGCTCTGGCCTGGCGTTCTGGCTCGTTGGACGGCCCACCAGATGGGCCTCGGCCTCGCGGGCGTGAGACACATGATATCGCGGCGCATCCATGGCAAAAGGAGGCCGTTCGAAGGCTCTGCCGAGGTCGTCAGGCTCGGCGACTCCGAGCAGCAGCGGTCGTGGTGTACACAGGCATGCCGCCCCGTTGCTGATGGGGCTCCTGCTCGGCCACGTCTCGCTGGCCCTGTGGCCCAATCGCTCCGCTCGCTTCGCACATCCATGCCATGGAGACAAACAGTCAGTCCCGCTGCTCGGGGAGCTTTCGGGGGAAATCCCCGCCGGCACCGGATATGGGAATCTATTACAGCCGGACCGAGGTGCAAGATCGAGGTCGGCTCGGGGAGGGTACCCTCGTGTTCTTCGTGCCTGTTGGATGTGACTGTGCGCCCTGAGGAGGGTACCCCTGGATGCTCCGTGTGCTCTGGCTGGCGGAGGGTCTCGTGTTCTTGAGGGATGCTCTTCTGGCCAGGGTCCGACTGTACTGGTGCACAGACTGGGTCTCGTCATTCTCGCGATGGCCCCGTCAGGCCGACCCGACTCCCCCGAACCCGAGTTTCACGTCTCCCCGCCTCAAGGTCTGCTGCACTTTTGGGCGCTTCGGGCGCAGAGCCCGACGCCCCCCCAGAGAGCCAGGATCCTGGGCCGCCAGGCGCCAGGCCCAGGGCCAGGGCCACGGCCACGGCCTCGTTCTGCGGAGAGGTACAGGGCTTCCTTGAGTGAGAAGTGCGATATCCGGGCACGCGACAGGCACGCCTGAAGGTTTTCTACACATAGTCACCGCCCACCGAGCCACTTCAACCCAAGCCGAAGGCTTCAATTTGCCTTCCGTTTCCAGTCGTGGGGGGGGGTCGAGGAACAGTGGAAAAAACACGGATGAAAGTTGTGCCCTGTACACTCCCCCAACCCGAAATTCGGGTCTTCGGGTTGGGTTGGGGGTGGTCTGGTAGGTAGTCAATGAGATACGCGCAAGACCTCCAGAGGACCTGAAAAACGTGCCCCCCGCCGCATCGACCCCAAATCGCACATCGATGGCCGAAAGGGGCCCGATGGCCCACCCCGCGGAGGAACGCGAGGTTCCGCCATCGAGGGCCTGTCGCCGATCTATCAGCGATGTATCGCCGATTTCAGGTTGTTGTTTCCCCCTCCTGAGCTGGCTCCCGCACCGCTCCCCGCCAAAGGAGTTGACATCTAATCCGTGGCGGAAGGTGGCGCAACGGCGGCGGGAGGGAAAAACGAGGCCGCCTCCGCCAGCGGAAGGCGGGCGACGGAAGTAAACATCGACCGCCTTCACGAGATGTCGACGCGCTTGGGTTGAAGGGTCGAGGACGGGGCTCGGGGGTCGAGGACTGAAGGCTTCCCCCCAGGGTTCTCTTCTGAGCCTACCCGCCGAGAACGAGAAAGAGTATCAGGGATACGCGCGTCGTCGGTCAGGCTGCGCGTGTCACCCAGCCGTTTCTCGTGCAGACGCTTGGTACTTCTTCCGCAGTAGCACGCTGATTGGGCCGTCCGACCGGCGAGACACTGACATTGCTGCTGCTCTCCGAATCCGGTGTCTGAGCCCAGTCGGACGCCGAGTGGGCTCAAGATCGAGCCCACTCTGCGGCCGAAGGGGCGCAGTTTCCTTCGACCCTGTCGGAACCAGGTCCGCTGCCCGTTCGGCGGCCGCACTGGCTCGGGGAACCATGGGGGAGCGCGGGGGGGGGACAACGAGGATGAGGCTCGAGGGGTTGAGGTTTTGGATTTGGTTGGTCTTCTTGTGTAGACTTGAGGAAACGTTTAGATGCAAGGGAAGTCTTCTGTAGTGGTCTCTGGGGGCTTCGTTAAATCTTCTGGAGGCAGCAATGGGGCATACCCAACTCCGGCGGATTTTGCATTTAAATCTTGGTGTCTTTGGGGTGCCCTTTTCGGCGAGGCACTGGGGAAGGGGTCGAGTCATCCCAGGCTGAGGCGCGCGATGGGTTGAAAAAGAAACTCCGTCTTCGGCCTTGACAGGAGCAGCAGAAGAAGTCTCCGATGCTCTTCCTATCTACAAAGGGGGGGAGAGAGACATGGGAGAAGAGATGTTAGTCAACCGACGGCCTCACCACTGACCGAGCCATTACAAAGCGCGCCAGTCCTGTCCCTGCTCTGTCGCATGTGGGGGCGGGGCATGGGTGCTGCAACGCCCAGGTGAGGGGCGCATTCGAGTACCCCAAAGGCTGCGACCTAGCATTCACGGCGAACTACGTCCGAACATAATCAAGGATTCGGAAAAGTGTTGATTGCACCACTAGGTTGAGCTGCGGCGCCGATTCGGTCGGTGGCATTCGAGCGAGTGATTTGGGCGATCTTGCGCGACTCGGAGGGCGTACTCTTGTACCACATCTTCGGCAACCGCTTATACCGTGCAGTTGTGGCGCACGGCCCACACCATCATCGGCGCGCTGATAATGCGGTGGCGCTAGAAGGTGCCGGAGCCTGAGCACGAGTTATCAGGGATCGTTCGTACATTTTCGAAATTTAATACATCCGCCTTCTCGGGGGCCACTCCATGTCACACGACGCAGGCCGACGACGTTTGTTTTACGTGTTCCCAGGGTGCGTGCAAGGTATAATATAATGTTTGCTCTCCAGGTTTCGCCACAACTTGACAATCTAGCTTGTCTTCGGCCCAACCCGCTGATGTGCTTGGGTTGTGGACCTCTCCCAGACCCTCTCGGGGTCTCGTAGTAGACCTCCTGGGGGCCGCTTGGAGGCTTCTTGGGGGTATCTTGGGGCTTCATGGCGGTCTCGGAGGAGGCAATTTTTCTGGTCCAGGGCTCCAAGTGACAATTCGTGGTGTTCATGACGCGATCCAGGGTTCCTCTTGTCTTGGGCCGCCTTGGGCGCTCGTAGTACCGAAACAGCAGAGAGGCTAAGTCATTGAAGCCCACACTGATTTCCCATGATTTTTGTTTGGGCGGCTTTCTTGTGCGGCTCATGAGGCGCCCAAGCGGGTTGCAAGACGGGCTTTGGGATCATCCCAAATTCATGTTCGACGTGTTGAATCCTAACCACGCTCCCGAGACCTCTTGAAAGGTAACGTGTCGATGCTCAGGAGCGCCTGGATGCGCCCGTGACTCTTCTTGGGGTTATTTAGCCCCTAGGGGTTTTGGGCCCTCTTGGGGGCCTCTTCGGCCGTCGTGGGGCGATGTGTGGGGCCTTTTGGGTCGTTTTGGGCGGTACTATCACTGAACAGCCGAGTATGCCAACGTACGCAGCAACTTAACGGGTCTCAGTGAGTTTGTTTTGTTGGGCTTGCCTCCAGGTTTCTCCAAGACAGCCCACGGTGCGCCCAAGAGGGCTCCAGGCCGGGCCCAAGTATGAACTTCGCGCCCGCTGCCTTCTAAAAGTCACGCGACCCGCCTCAACAGTGAATCGTTAGTTGAGGTTCTGAGCCACTCTTGGAGAGCCTCGAGACACTGGACAGCAGGACCTGAGGACACTCCACTCAAGGCCTACGACACGGTGGCGGCTTCGTACAATTCACACCGAGAACTCGAAGGGACCTGTGGACACTCCACTCAGTGCCCACGGCGCGGTGGCGGATCTATTTCCGAAGGCAAGTACGCACGACGGGTCACGATTGTTCCGCGATGTTCCGCGTTTGTTGGGTACCGTTGTTGCACGTCATTATTTCATGTCTTCACGTCGTCATGACATCAGGAACGTGTCATTGCGTGTGCTTACGATGCGGCGCTACAGGTGTATTGCTAAAATCGCGTGGGAACGTTTCATGGACTCGACCGCGGCGTGGTTGTGTTTGTGCGTGCGCGCTTATGTGTGTGTATGTTCAATCACGCCAGTTTGGGAATCTGATGTGTCTGCGTCGTATGTGTTGGTGAGAGGTGCGAGGGATGCTCAGCGTGCGCAATCCGATTAGTGATGATTTGTGCACTGAAACATGGAGGAAAGCTCAGAGGGCATGGCGTCCATCTTGATCGACAAGGTACCGGCCCCTCTTTTCATGTGAATGATCTGCGGTATCCGACGCGACCCCGTGATGCTAATGCACAGATCCCGCGTTTCTAGTTTTCTTTGCATCCCCGTTTTGCAATGCAATAGCAGTGTTCCGAATTGCTGCAGTCTACGTCTGTTGGAGGGTTGGAGGTGAGACCGACGTGAAACGAAGTGCCCCCCACCCTTTGCTCCGCGCAGGGGGAGGAGGAAAAAGAGGAAGAGGAGGAGGAGGGGGAAGAGGAGCAGGAAAACTGTCTGAGGGAAGAGGTGCAGGTGGGAGAGAAGTAGGTGCAGGAGGGAGGGCGAGGGCGGATGGGGAGATGGAGGAGGAGGAGGAGGCGGAGGAGGAGGAGGAGAGGGCATGAGACGAAGGAGGAGGTGGAGAAGCATCAGCAGGAGCAGCAGAGAAGGTGGGGAAGGGTTTACAGTGGGGGGCCCTGTCAAGAAACACCCTGCTTGCCTCCAAGGTGCCCTTTGGTTTCTTGGGCTTCGATGGTTCCCTACCTAGGCTCTGCCTAGAAGGGTTCTTACTCTCTAGCTTAAAGGGGCCGGGCAGTGCTACACGCCCCGGGCGGTTCCCCCAGTCCCCGCCCCGCGGTTCCCCAGTCGCGCCCCCTTAGCTTGGCTTAGTTTATCTCGTCTTCGCTTAGCTTGGCTTAGCTTAGCTTGGCTTAGCTTAGCTTGGCTTACCTTAGCTCAGCTTAGCTTAGCTTAGCTTAGCTTAGCCTATTGTAGCTTAGCTTAGCGTAGCATAGCATTGCATAGCACAGCACAGCATAGCATAACACAGCACAGTATTGCATAGCATAGCTTAGCATAGCTTAGCCTAGCGCCCCCTTAGCTTGGCATAGCTTTTCTCGTCTTAGCTTAGCTTGGCTTAGCTTAGCTCGGCTTAGCTTAGCTTAGCTTAGCTTTGCCTACCTTAGCTTAGCTGAGCTTAGCTTAGCTTAGCCTAATGTAGCTTAGCTTAGCGTAGCATAGCATAGCATGGCATAGCATAGCACAGCATAGCATGACATAGCACAGTATTGCACAGCGTAGCTTAGCATAGCTTAGCATAGCTTAGCATAGCATATATTGTTTAGCTTTAGCTTAGCTTTAGCTTAGCTGTAGTTTAGCGTTATCTTAGCTGTAGCTTAGCTTTAGCCTAGCTGTAGCTTAGCTTTAGCTCAGCTTTAGCTTAGCTTCAGCCTAGCTTTAGCTTAGCTTTAGCTTAGCTACATATTATATATAGTTTAGCTTTAGCTTAACGTTCGTTTAGCTTTCGCTTAGCTTTATCTTAGCTGCAGCTTAGCTTTAGCTTAGATGTAGCTTAGCTTTAGCTTAGCTTTACCTTCGCTTTAGCTTAGCTGCACCTTAGCTGTAGCTTAGATTTAGCGTAGCTGTAGCTTAGCTTTAGCTTAGTGTTAGCTTATATTTAGCTTAGCTTCAGCTTAGCTTTAGCTAAAGTTTAGCTTAGCTTTAACTTAGCTTTAGCTTAGCTTTAGTTTAGCTTGAGCTTAACTTTGGTGTTACTACCAATGCTGCTTCCATGGGGGCTCCAACTCCTAGGTAGGGTCGCACTGGGATAATTTTGCGATGGCAGGCGTGACGTCCCCACACCAAAAAATCTATGGACGTCCTGGGGTCTCAGGGTTGGGATTCTTGTGGAAGGTTTCTCGTGGACTGGCCTCCACTGTAGCGAAGACGCTGAACGTGAGAGGGCCACCTTGGCTCCAAGGGGGGCTCCAGATGTCCTTCCGTTCCATATCGGTCTGGGTCGGGACGCCTAATGGTGGCCGAGGGCTCGCCGTGGCCACAAAACATGAGAAAAAACAATGTTCGCTCCCCCTCCTGGTGCTCCTCGTGGCAGCACCACGGCCACATCCGGCGCGGAGCGCTCCGCAGCTGTTTCGGCCGAAGGCACCGCAGCAGTGGAGCCACGGTGGGTCCCTAGAGCAGTCGGGCCCCTGACCCCAAACCAGATTCTCATCCCGAGTCGTTGTTTCCGGAAAGGGCGTGGGCCCAGGATTTTTCCCTACCTAGGCTCTGCCTAGAAGGGTTCTTACTCTGTTAGCTTAAAGGGGCCGGGCAGTGCTACACGCCCCGGGCGGTTCCCCCAGTCCCCGCCCCGCGGATCCCCCAGTCCCCTGGGAGCTTTAGCTTTAGCTTAGCTTTAGCTTTAGCTTTAGCTTAGCTTTAGCTTTAGCTTGGCTTTAACTTAGCTTTAGCTTAGCTTTAGCGTAGCTGTAGCTTAGCTTTAGCTCAGCTTTAGCTTAGCTGTACCTTAGCCTTAGCTCATGTTTTCGCTTAGCGTTAGCTTAACTATAGCTTAGCTTTAGCTTAGCTTCAGCTTAACTTTAGTTTAGAGTTAGCTTACGTTTAGCTTAGCTTTAGATTAGCGTTAGCTTAGCTTTAGCTTAGCTTTAGCTTAGCTTTAACTCAGCTTTAGCTTAGCTTCAGCCTAGCTTTAGCTTAGCTTTAGCTCAGCTTTAGCTTAGCTTCAGCCTAGCTTTAGCTTAGCTTCAGCTCAGCTTCAGCCTAGCTTTAGCTTAGCTTTAGCTTAGCTTTAGCTTATCGTTAGCTTAGCTTTAGTTTAGCTGAAGCTCAGCCAAAGCTTAGCTAACTCTTAGCTTTAGCCTAGCTTTACCTTAGTGTTAGCTTAGATTTAGCTTAGCGTTAGCTTAGATTTACCTTAGCTTTAGCTTAGCTTTAGCTTCGCTTTAGCTTAGCTTTAGCTTAGCTGTAGCTTAGTTTTAGCTTAGCTTCAGCTTAGCTTCAGCTTAGCTGTAGCTTAGCTGTAGCTTAGCTTTAGCTTAGCTTTAGCTTAGCTTTAGCTTAGCTTTAGCTCAGCTGTAGCTTAGCTTTAGCTTTGCTTTAGCTTAGCTTTACTGTTACTACTAATGCTGCTTTCCTAGGGGCTCCAACTCCTAGGTAGGGTCGCACTGGGATTTTTTTTTAGGAGTTTCCCCCCGGCCTCGACGGCTGTAGGGCCGGCGGAGTTAATCTACGATAAATAGGAGTAGGGCCGGCGAATCAACATTTGAAGATGTCCCGTGCGAAACGCTTGTTTTGCAGAACGTGTTGCGGATGTCTCGAGCGAATCGTTTGTTTTGTGTTATAGATTGTCCTCTCCTGGGGACCAGAATTCAAAGGACCTCTCAAGTGAAATGCTTGTTTTCACGTGCCCAGGTCTTGAGGATGTCTCGAGCGAGACGCTTGGTTTCACGCGTCCAGGTTGCCCAGGCAGATGTCTAGCATGAGCATTTGTCGAGGATGTTTCGAGGTTCAATGTGTGAGTTTGAGTGCGCATGGATCTGCAAACGATTGTTTCTTTGTTGTAGACTGTGTATGAGCAGGTCTGGAAGTGAGTGGGTGCGAGTGTGAGTGGTCAAGACAACGCATGTGTATGAGCATGGCAGAACAATTCGTAGCTGGGTATGGGCGGTTATTTGTCGCGTGGGTGAGCGGTGCGCCGTTCTGGTCACGATATGATGGGTCTCTGAATGTGGCTGGCAGGGGGGAATTGCGCGTCTGACTGTGAGTCTGTCCGGTCGGCGTATTGGTATGGGTGACAGGGTACGGGTGAGTGTGGGTGTGAGTGCATATCGAAAAGTTCTCCATCCTCAGTCACCGGCCACCTTTGCAGTCTGCGTGGGATATATCAGAGCTATTGTGGGCTGCCTGGGCGCTGTCCTGAAGCAAGATTGGGATATCATGCGAAGGGAGCGGGTGATTATCAAATCAACATATTTTGGTGGTATTCTCAAGTTCATGGGTTGCGTTTTGCTGTTTTTTGTTGAAGTTTGTGCTTCGGTTCGTGAATTGGAGGCCAGATCCCAAACACGCTCCCCGAAAACAGTTGCCAAGACAGGAAGGCCGTGTTCTTCGTCTCTGGAGAGGGGGGGCGGGAGCGCGAATATATCGCAATTCGAACTGAAGTGTGGCCTGGGGGGCGCGAATTCGTCACGAATTGCTATTACTTGTGACCTCTGGAACGCGAATCTGTTTTACTTGCTAAGGAGTCTGACCCCTGGAGCGACGGCGCGTTGTAGTTCGAGTGGGTGTTGCCTTTGGAACGCGAGTGTTGCAAGGGGTTCCTTGGATCGGCAGCGCGAACGCATTGAAGCAGACGCCTGGTTGCGGTACCAGTGTCGCAAGTTTGTTGTACTGTACCGATGGTCGCGGCCTCGGGAGCAGAAGCATGGCATGCTTTAAAGAAGATCGAGGCCTCAGGAAAGCGCATGCGGTATCCTTCCCAATTGATTGTTGCCTCGGGGTTCGGAGTGCGACGTTACTCTCCAAGCAGTGGTTGCGCTGAGGTCTCCTGGCTCGTGTTCTGATGTAAGTGGGGCCCGGCGTCGGTCCGGCCGGCTCTCGGGAGGAAAAGAGACACACAGACGCAATCAATCGTCGACCCCCAAGAAAATGAAAATATGGGAGTTGGGCGGGAAGGCAGGAACCCAGAAAATATGGGAAAAGATGGAGAGCCTTTTTATCTGTGTGTATGTATTTGTGTGTCCCAGGGCCCCTTCGGGCTCGTCGCCGCCCGTTGCCGCCCGTCGCCGCCGCCGCCGCCGTCGCCGCCGTCGGCCCCGGTGTCGGTCCGGCCAGCTCGTCGCCGCCCATCGCAGCCGTCGCAGGGTGACCCCAGCAACCAGCGGTCCAGCCAGGTCGTCGCCGCCCTTCGTAGCGTTGTTTGCATTGCTTTTTGCGCTGTTTTGCGTCGTTGCGGTCTGTTTTTGTTTTTGCATTGCATTGCATTGCTTTAACTTTGCTCGTCATCGCTTCGCATTGCTTTACATTGCAATGCGTTGCATTACAATGTATTGCTTTGCATTGCTTTTCATAGCATTGCATCGCTTTGTATTGCTGTGCATTACCTTGCATTACGTTGCTTTGTTTTGCTTGCAACGCATTGCTTTGCATTGGTTTGGATTGCTTTGCATTGCTACGGGTGCACCAAATGGCCTACGCCACCGAAGTAGATTTCACCACATTGATTGGCCCACCTCGATTGCACCGCATGCATTGCAAGAAATCACTGATTGGGGTCCGCGCTGGCTAACATTTGCTAAATATTGTAGCCTCGAGAACGCGACCGCGACGCAATTTGCAAAGATTGTGGCCTCGCGAGCGCGAGCTCGAAGTGATCCGTCAGGAATCAACCGTAGCCCCGAATGCGCACACGCGACGGCATAGTAATTTGCGAGGAGTTGTGGCCCCGAGAGCGCGAGTGTGTTGTAATTAATCCTTATACGTCCCAGGGCACCCCAGAGCTGAGGGAACCCAGCTTTGAGGTGGTAACGCATCCCTTTCTGGCCGCGTGGGGATCGCGCGTTCTTCAAGCTTCCGACCTCGCAACAAGGAACCTAGTCAGAGTGAGCGGGCCGAACGTTCTTACACCATCCCCCCTGGTGCGGGTGTCGAAGTGGGATCCCGTGGCCTGTATTTTGTTGGTTGTTTGTTGTTGTTTCCTTGTCGTCGTCCACCCCGCGACCCACCCTGCGACCCACCCCGCGACCCACCCCGTGACCCACCTCGCGATCCACACCGCGACCCTCCCGCGACCCACCCCGCGCCCGCCCCCTCGCTCTCATCCGCAGATCTGGAATAGTTCGTATCTCCCAGGGCACCCCAGATCTGAGGAACCGGCCTCCGAGGTGCTAACGCATCCTTTTCTGGCTGCAGGGAGTCGCGCGACTTCCAACATGGGAACAAGGAACCCGTAATTGGAACACCTGGCGCTTTCGCATTGGAACTGTTCATGCTGAAAAGACCTAATCCTCCCCAAGGGGGCCAGCGGATAAGTAAGAGCGTCTGGGTCTAAGCCTCTGGATGCGAGGAACCACGGTCAGGGTGTGTGAGCGCATGCGCATGGCAAGCTGTATGTGAGTGGGTGTGGATACGGGCGGGTACGAGAGTGAGGAGATTTGAGAACTGCTCTGAATCTGAACAGTTGTGGGGGCATCGTGGGGCTTCTCCCTTCGGCCGTGACGTCGCGATGGCCATGGGGTTCCAGAAGGGACATGTCGATCCCCCAAAACAAAACTCGAAAGAGGCCCCGACGGTGTGGGCGCGAGCGGGCCCGTGTCGACCGCGGCTGCGGCGGCCACGGCGGCGGCTTGGCGGCGGCCGCCGCCCCCATCGCCAGGTGCACGCGGCGGGGCTCTTCTGGCGCTGAGAGGGAGGGCCGCCCCCTTCGCCAGCGGTGAGGACCTGGGCGGCGCGACGGCGTGCGGCGCGCCCCTTGCACAGAGCGGCCTGGCGCGGGGAGGGCGCGGGCAAGGCTGGAGGCCGCCGGGGGCCGCGGAGGCGAGGCCGCCATGGAGTGGGGCCAGGATCTCCGACGATAGCGAGCGTTTCGAGGTTTGTTGTTTTCGGACGGGTTCGTCGGTTCTCCGCGGCTTTCCAGCCTCAGGATGCCTTCCAGCGGCTGCGCATCGCCGCCGCGAGCGTTCCGGGGCTGCCTAGACCTTTCCGATCGGATGCCGGAGAGTCGAGTTTCCGGACCCGAAAGCCACTGGTTCTCCGACGATGTGTTTTTGTTGCAGTCCCGCCGCGGCTTCCTTCGATCTCGGCCTCTGGGGCCCGTCTTCGGGCTCTGGGGCCATCAGACACTCGAGGGAAGAGTCGACGCCGGCTTTTGTCGTGGTCCGTGCTGGCTGTCGCCGACTCGAGAGGCTGATCCACGAAGAGCTGGTGACCCAGATGGACGGTGACCAAGCTCGGCCCCGACGTTTCCGCGCTCAGTCTTGGCAATGGCCACCGCTTTATTCCCCACCAGATGAGCGACAGAACAGACACGGGGTCGACTGCGCGGACATTCACGCGTAACATGCCCCGGGTAAGGTGGCGCGTGAGCGCCTTCGTCTCAGATACAGCGTGCCGCGCTGGCGGCACGCGTAAGCCGCGGCGTAAGGTCGCTGTGTTATCTCGTGGAAGGCCCGTTTCGTCCCGTCGATCAGAGTGATTCGGGGCGGCGAAATGGCCCCAGCAAAGGGGTCAGGGCGTCTGGGGTCGCGCACTGAAGAGACAGTGTCGGAGCATGTCTGGGAACGGCCGCGCAAGCGCAACCAGATACAGCCTGCGGGTCTGGAGGCTGACGCAGCCGATCTCAGAGGGGTCTGGAGGGTCGAGGGGTCTGGAGGGTGGGTGCATCTGATATATCAGAGAGATTCCGGGCTTACCTCACCCGATTGCGTTTTTATTTAATCGCTTCGCTCATTCCGCCGGCCCATATTGTCGCACAGTTGTGGGCTAGCCGAGTTTTGGGGCCTCTTGGGGGCCGTTTTGGGGCCTCTTGGGGCCTCTTTTGGGCCTCTTGGGCGCCTCTTGGGGCGTCTTGGGGGCCTCTTGGGGGCCTCTTGGGGCCTTTTTGGGGCCTCCTGGGCGCCTTCTGGGGCGGAGGGCTCGATTTTTCAGTTCTCGGTTCCCCTCTTGAGCCCCTCTTGGGCCCGTCTTGGGGCCTCTTGGTCCGTCTTGGGCGGCACTTGGGCCGTCTTGGGGGCCCTCCTGGGCCGTTCCGGGGCCGTCTTGGGAGCCTCGTGGGCCGTCTTGGAGCGGTCTTGGGGGCCTCTTGGGCCGTCTTGGAGCGTCCGGAAGCCGAAAAAGCCAGAACGCAAAAAACAGCGAAAAAAACAATGAAAATCAACGATTTTGGCCTCTTGGGGCCCTCTTCGGAGGCCTCTTGGAAGGCCCTTGGGGCGTCTTGGAGGCCTCTTGGGCTGTCTTGGGGCCCTGTTGGGCGTCTTCGGGCGATCTTTGGCCGTCTCGGGGCCCTCTTGGACCGTCTTGGAGGCTTCTTGGGGGCCTCTTGGCCCGTCCTGGGGCCCTGTAACAGGGCTCCGGCATCTCTGGCCCGACCTTGCGGGGACCTTGCCGGGGACCTTGCCGGGGACCTTGCCGGGGACCGGCCGGGACCTGGTCGGGGTACTTTTCGTCTGGGGACCCCCAGGGGCCGCCCCGCGCGCGCGAAGTAGAAACATTGTAGAGCAGTTACCGGAGATCTTAGCACGCCTCTGGCCCGTTGGGCCGGCGAATTGGGTTGACTCTGGAGGGCCCCTGGGGGACTCTGCGCACTTTTCCAGCACCTGTTGGAGCCGCGGTGTCAGCTTAGGGCGCGGGGAGGCTTATTTCAGGGCCACTTTGCTGCAACCCTCGACCGCCGCCGCTCAGTCAAGGGACATCAACTCACCACCTCACCGATCCTGGCTTGGCTCGTCTTGGGCCCTGGATCGGCCTGGCCAGGATCGGCGAGGCGGTTAGTTGACGGCACCCTCCGTGTTCATTGCCCCCCTTCCCCGTGCACATTCACCCAAGTCTTGCTGTCGTCTTGCCGCCCAGGATTCAGTGGACGGAGAACAGTATAGATTCAGCATCTCCGCTATCGGAGGCGCCTGTCTCAGGGTGGCTTGGAAGCTGCTGCCCCTGAGGTGGTACGCCGGGGCGTGAATTGTCCAGCCACCTCGGGAGTGGCGTCTCCGATTGTGGATACGTTCATTCCTACAAAAACCACATCGAACACGACATCGGCATGCAAGCAGGTGCCCCACGGATATTTCTCAGCCCCGATGGCCCCAGGGGCCAACGGAAGCGTTGGGGCACCTCTCAGGATCCTCAAACATCGACGAAGAGTATGTCACACCATTTCTGATACGCAGCAAGCTTTCTCATCGTATTTGGCTACTGTATGTGATCGTTTTCTTATTCTTTGTTTTGCCGAGCAGCGCGGGCCCTCGCACCCCCCCCCATGGAGTAGATTTTTGCTGTTTCTAGCGCCTGCTTCAAGCATGTGTACCCTCCCCCATCGGACGCATTGCTGCAAACCGTCGCACGAGGAAGAGGCCCGGGGCCAGACCCCCTCCCCCCCTTCCGCCCACTGTGGGCACGCCGGATAAGACAACGCTCGCTATGCCGGTCCTCGTCCGCCCGAGGATGACATTTTATTCTGCCCCTGGTTTATGATGCCCCAACCTACTTTAGCCTTGATCACCAGAAAGAATTTCGAGCGCCAAAGAAAGTACCGAAACTCGAGGGTTTTCACGTGTCGGGCCCTGGGAGACATTCGCCCGACACTGCTTCGACATTGTTTCGGCACTCTTTTGACACTTTTCCGGGTGCTCGAAATCATTTCTGGGATCTGGTCTGCAAGTAGGATTAAGTCGGGCCTGTCCCTCTACAGGGGGGAAATATTCAAAAGTGGTCAAAAATTAGCCTGGGGGCTATTTTTTTTATCATTCTTTGACCATTTTGGGGGATGTTTTGAGTATCTTTTATTTTTCGTCGACAATCCCCATGTAGGGGGACACGCCCGACTGACAAGTAGGATGGGAACAGCACAGCCCCCGGTCGGCTTTCTGCTCGGCCTGCCGGCGCCCCCCCCGCCCTGGTGGAGCCGGCGCGCCGGGGCGGGGCGCCCTGGTGGAGCCAGCGCGCGGCGCGAGAGCCCCCCCCCCCCGGGCGCTCGGAACGGGTACGGAGGTAGCGGCGGCGCGGGCCGCAGACGGAGGAGCGGCCCCACGCGGGGGTCCTTGTGCTGCCCTCCGGGCCAGCTCTTTTGGCTACCCTCTGGGCCACGATGCGGGCTGTGCCCCCCCCCCTGTCCGCCCCCTCCCTCTTCCGCCTCCCTCTGCCTCCCTCCCTCTGCCTCCCTCCCTCTCCCTCCTCCTCCTCCTCGTCCTCCTCTGCCTCCTCCTCTGCCTCCTCCTCCTCCTCCTTCTCCTCCTCCTCCCCCTCCTCCTCCTCATCCTCCTCCTCCTCCTCCTCCTCCTCCTCCTCATCCCTGCTCCTCTCCTCCCTCCTCCTCCTCCTCCTCCTCCTCCTCTGCCTTCTCCTCTGCCTCCTCCTCTGCCTGCTCCTCCTCCTGCTCCTCCTCCTCCTGCTCCTCCTCCTCCTCCTTCTCCTCTGCCTCCTCCTCCTCCTCCTCCTCCTCCTCCTCCTCCTCCTCCTCCTCCTCCTCCTCCTCCTCCACGGTCAGGAGCGGCCCGAGGGCTGCAGGCTGCTGGCGCCCCACACCGGAAGGCCCCCCTCCCCCCACCCTCCCCGCCAGTGCCTCCTTAGCACTGCCGCAGTGCGTGCGGCAACACAATGTGTGGTGCCAGAGTCTCGCGGCGGGAGGGGGGGCGTTACGTTATGCCCCCCACCCATCCCCCCGCCCCGATATAATGCCCGTATCGCCGGGAACAAAAGAGCGCTCTCCTTCACAGTTCCCTTCTCAGTACGTTCGGCCGCCGAATGGGCAGCCGAACGGGCTGAGGTCGAGGGAAGTGAGCCTTCTCGGCCGCCGAATGGGCTCGATCGCGAGGGCTCACTCGGTGGCTGACTGGGCTCCGCCTCCGCACGGGCTCAGCAGGGAGCCTTGGGGGCAGCTCCTCCGCGCTGCGAAGGATTTCACGACGAAGGGTCTTGGGCACGCGCTTGGCATCTGGGGGGCCTCGCCAGGCCCCGCGGGGCCGTCGAAGAGCGGCGCGGGGTGAACGGCGGTTCCCGGGGGCAGGGGTCTGGACCTCGAGAGGTCCACGCCGTGAAGGGAGTTCGACGTCGGAGGTGCTTTGGGGATGGCGAGGGCCGGTAGCAGTTGCTGCTCCTTTCGAGCAGGGCTCGCCGTCGGCATCGCCGCGGACGTTGTCCGCTCGAGGCAGAAAGCTGCTTGCTCAACAGTGGCGGCCGTGTCGGTCTGGGTCTTGGACAACATGTGTTGCTGGGCATCGTGCCAAGCTTTGTCCGTACCCATTTCAGGAGTGCCACCCAGGGCGTGCCGTCCACGTTGGTTTCGGAGTGCAGACCGACGCGGCTCCGAGGAGAAAGGGAAGGTGTGAGGAGACGCTTCGCCATCTGTCTTAGGCTTCGGAATCCTTTCGAGGCCGACGTCGTCACGTTGTCTGCAAGTTTCGCAAGACGTGTCAGGTATGAGCTTAATATGCAGTAGTGTAAGGGCGCCATAAAAAGCCTGTACCCTGCTTGTCAGGCAGCATAACCCCCTGAAGACAGCATCCAACAGCAGGGTGTCTGGCGCAGCCAATGGTGCACACACTATTGAGCAATGGTACACCCGTTGAGGCAGCGGCTGATCTGCTCGATTGCGGAACGCTTTGTGCAATTTACGGCGCCACGTAAATATAGCGCAGCCACGAAGAACTCGATTAGGATACATTGGTATACCCGCCAATGTAGCGACCAACA